GCAACTTACGAAGTATCCCCCCAGTAAGTCTAGTACCACCTGGCACCGTACATCCTTATTACAATGTTATTGCCTATATTCCCTATGTTGTACTTTACATCCCCGGGACTATTTTGTAGCTACCTATTTGTACTTAATCCCTTCGCCTTTTTCATGCAGTCCCCCGAGCCCCCTTCCCTCTGGCAACCTCTGGCAATAGGTCTGCTCTGTTTCCATGAGTCTGTTTCTACAGTTCTTTAGATTCCACATATAAGTGAAGTAATATGGTACTTGTCTTTCTTTGTCTGACTTATTTCACTTAGCATAATATCCTCTAGGTTCATCCATGTTGTCGCAAATGCTAAGATTTCCATCTTTTAAACGGCTGAGTAGTCCATTGTGTAAATGTATCACAGCGTTTTTATCCAGTCATCTACTGATGGGCACTTGGGCGGCTTCTATATCTTGGCTATTGTAACAAGGCTGCGATGACCATAGAGATGCACATGCTCTTTCAAGTTAGTGTTCTGGACTTCTTTGGATAAATATCCAGAAGTGGAATTGGTGGGTCATAAGGTAGTTCTATTTTTTAATTTTTGAGGTTAACTCCATACAGTTTTCCAGTGTCTGCGCCAATCTGCATGTCTACCAACAGTGCATGAGGGTTCCCTTTTCTCCACATCCTCGCCAACACTTGTTGATTTGTTGATGGAGCCAGTCTGACAGGTGTGAGGTGATACCTCACTGTGGTTTTAATTTGCACCTCTCTGATGATGAGGGACTGAGCATTTTTTTCATATGTTTCTTGGCCATCTGCATGTCCTCTGGAGAAGTGTCTATTCAGGTCCTTTGCCCATTTCAGGTCCTCTGCCCACTATTTATTTATTTATTTATTTATTTATTTATTTTTGGTGCTAAGTAGTATAAGTTCTCTATAAATTTTGAATTTTAACCCTTATCAGATGTATCATTGGTGAATATCTTCTCCCAATCAGTAGGCTTTTTGTTTTGTGGATGGTTTCCTTTGCTGTGCAAAAACTTTTTAGTTTGATGTAGTCCGTTTGCTTTTGTTTCCCTTGCCTGAGGAAACATATTAGAAAAATATTACTAAGAGAGTTGTCAGAGAGCTCATTGCCTACGTTTTTTCCTAGGAGTTTTATGGTTTCAAGTCTTACATTTAAGTCTTTAATCCATTTTGAGTTTATTCTTGTATATGGTGTAAGAAGGTGGTCTCGTTTCATTTTTTGCATGTAGCTGTCCATTTTCCCCAGCACCATTTATTGAATAGATTGTCTTTACCCCATTGCAGATTCTTGCCTTCTTTGTCATAGGTTAATTGACCATATAGGTGTGGGTTTATTTCTGGGCTCTGTTCTGTTCCATTGATCTATGTGTCTGTTTTTATGCCAGTACCATGCTGTTTTGATTACTGTAGCCTTGTAGTATAGTTTGATATCAGGTAGCTGCCATCTTGTGGGTGCCTAGAATTCCATTTTTACCAAAGACATTAGCGGGGTTGCCAATTGTGGCCAACCGACCAACTTTCAGTGTCTGGTGGCCATCTCTGTCCTGGGTCCCTACCACACTTGGGGCTCTCCAGAGGAGGAAAAGGCTGGAACCTTCCTCAGCCCAGAGGATGACAGACTGGTGTGTCCCCACTCCTCCCACGGGACAAGATGCAGCAACAAGTACCTTTCTCCTTAGGCTGGAGTGTGCCAGGAGTTAGAGCCTCGAATTCTGAACGAGAAATAATTTCCTGTGGCAGTGTAGCTAAGGGAACATTTTGTAACTGTTTCTCAAGCGTCTTTTCCAAAGTGTACATTTTCAGCCCCTAGTGGACTGTAAGTAGGGACTGTGCCTCATCCATCACTCTGTCCCCACACTGTGCTTAGCTCAGCCCTGCATTCCTATCAGGTAATCAATACATGCTTGTTACCTAACTGAAGGCAAATTAAATGCTAAGCAGCACTAATTACAAGCTTCTGCAGGATCCTGGCTCTCAGCAAAGAGAATTCCTGGTGGCTGTCGGGGGTTTGCGAGCTGCCCAGGTGTATGAAACACGAAATTGTTGTTTTCTAACTGCTTCTTTGTTCCCGAGAGGGGAGCTGTTCTCCTAAGATTGCTGTAGTAGAATGTTCGGGGGGCAGTATTCATGAAATTTCTAAATGCCAGTATTCTGCACTATGCAGGCAGTCTTGTTCAGGAGCAAGATGGGCGGATCTGGATTCCTGTCTCCATGGAAGGAGACAACCGGTAACCATGAAGGGAAATTAGAGAGTTTAACAGCAATATCAGCACACTAAAGGGGAACGGGAGCCTGCTAGGGTGCTAGGCTGAGCCTGGGTGTACTCTCTCAACACAGGATCCTAAAACAGGTACCAAAAAGGCCCCCTTTATGCAAATGATGACCAGTTATTTGCAGGGATGGTGTTAAGATGAGCCATTTCGTTTCTGGCCGATTGAACGGAAACAGGCAGCCGCGGTCATGTGTCAAGGTAACTGAGACGGGGGGGGG